AGAATTTAACGTGAATCTGAGGGCCTGCTGATGACTGAGTGCACCATAATAATAAAACTTGCAAGTAAAAACTAATCAATATAGCTTTTCGGCTGTTTCCTTTTCATGTATAATCTTCTCCTTCTTTTACCATGGTTGGCTATCACCCACATCTTCCCGTTTTGGCTGCCATCGGAAGCCATAAGATGTTGAATAAATAAATAAATAAATAAAAATAATTATGGGCGGTCAGAATTAAGATACATGGTCGGCCTTCAAGCACACGGGTCTACGGTCTCGGGGGGGGGGGGGGGGGTGTAGAGGGGACGGTACGGTAAATAGGTTGCAAAACGGAATGGGCTCAACATTCATTTTCTCTTTTGGTATTTTGATTAGAAAACATGTCACAGTGAGACCGACGCGTTTGCTCCGAGCCAAACGTTCATGGCTCTGCAATGACCAGAAGCGCCATACCAAGTATGTGAGTTTTGAAGTGTTGCTTTGCCTAACCCTAACCTTAACCCTAACCCTAACCCTAACCCTAACCCCCCATAAAGCAACGTATACCATTGAAAACTAATGGAGGCACACACAAGGCGTATTGTTTCTCTGCACTGGCCTTCGTGGAGCAATATCAAATACTGTACCTAATTTCAGAACTCAGGGTGAACTGACGTGCACTCCAAAACCTTTCCTGTTTGGAGCCACCTCTGCGACACCAAAATTTGTAGGGCCGAGCCGGGTAGCATTTCTTCGGGTATCGGGTTCGGGTAGTTTTCCACGGGTAGCACGGGTACCTTATCGGGTAATGTTTCCATGGTAACACCACGATGCACCCCTTCCATTACACACTGGGTAGACATGCGGAGTATTAGAGAGGTTAAAGGGGCACTCCAGCTTCGTTTTCGACTTGCCAGTGGAAATGCACCAGCGTATATACATTTCACATACTTTTTGGCCAATTTTCAATCGAAGGGGAGGTTGTTTTCTATGTTCTCCCAACGCCGTGAGCGATCCCATCTTCTATACCCTTCCAGGTATCCTGAGGGTTCTCCGGAGGAGAATTTATCTCCAGCAAAGCGTTGTTGACCCGCTAAATTCGTCTCGAGGCATATTCACCCAGTGCTGATAAAATGTAGAATGTTGAATCTGTGATAATTGTCGACGATGGAGAGAGAGGTTGATATCCGCTGTCGCTGGGAGAGTGAAGCTGCTGGATGTAACAACGGGAAGCCCGTTTGTATCACCTGAACAACCAGACTTCAAAGCAGGTTGACCAAATCGGAGGGTACTGACTATTTCCCTCGTTGCTTATCGTGAATATTGTACCGACATGAATTGCTACACGTATACTGGTGAGTTTTTTTTCTTGTTTTTGTTCGTATACTAGTACCCTGGCCTGGAGTTCTCTTTAGCTAATTCCTATCCCTGGCGTTTTCTAAATTTCCGTGTAGTACTGAATACGTGATCAAGTATTCCGATTTGGGTAGATGTGGAAACTGGACATGTATTATTATTAAAATAATTCTATTCTCCAAATAGAGCGTTGGTAGAGAAATGGTTGCCCAAGTACAACAAAGTCGATTCTAAAGTTCTACAACTACACTTGTACTGAAATCCAGTCGAAGTAAAAATGATTCTTCATGACAGTTGGTGTCAATGAAATCTGATCCAGGCATAAAGAATGGTGGCGCTTGCCACCCCGAGAACGAATGCCCATTTGATGGGGGATACCATAGTACTCGAAGCGGTGCGCGTTTCGATGTGGCATTTGGAAGTTTTACATGATCTCTGGTCAATGCAACATACAATAGCCATCATGAATTGCAGGCCTCGAACGCAACTCAGATCAGAATTGGCAGTTCCCTAAGTGAGATGCTTTATAATTCCATGCCCCCAGCTGTAGGTATAGAGGTTTTTGCACATTATAGTTATGGTCGATAGGTTCATACTGACGGCCACAAACAACGGCAATTAAACTTCAAAGTGTTCATGAGCTGAGAGATTCCTCTCCACTATTTCTGTTGTGCATACAGGTCTGTCCAATATGCATTGACCGTAGTGGGTATGGTATCTGCTCTGAGAAGGGAAGCGCTGGAGCCACAGTCCAACTATACAGGCTTTCAAGAAACAGAGAGGAGCCATCTTGGCAAGGCTGATACCTGATGTGCACCTACAGAATTCTCACGAGATACCTCATGGACTACGCCTGGTGTATGCTTCATAGTACTCCTTCGACTACTGTCTAGAATCAAGTCGACTGAAACAATTCTGACTTCAAACGAGCCGTCGATTAGACAAACAAAGCATTCTCTGATATACTACATCACTCTGACAACTCTGACAACTCACGGCCCATTCCTAACGATTGCTCACGGCCCATGGCCCATTCCTAACGATTGCCACCACTTACGGGCGCAGCAGGCCGAAGCTATCAGCCAGAACAGAACTAGTTACAATCACCTAAAGATATTTGGGCTACTCCAGTATTCTCCGTGAGCTGTCCCATTCCATCGTTCATGCCACCATTATTTCTGGTAGTATCTATGTGCATAATTCCAAGACCATCTCGGATTCTTCTGTAATTTGTGCCACGGCAAAAGTACATAACAATGCTTGACTCTGTCACTGGGGCTGTCAAACTTCCCATCACAAATGAACTTCAATTTCTCCTCTGTTACAAGTATATGTACTGCCATGACTTGACCATGCTTCATCCACAGCTGGGCGAAGAATGTGGCGTTGAATTCCATAGCGCACTTTCTTGCTGCCATGCAGAAGTATGTTGAGAGAAGTGAACATATTTTTTACTGAACAACAACAGCCACTGAAGAGGATAGCAGCAGGCTTGGGTGAACCTCCTGCAAGTACACGTTGTTGGTAGGTCTACTGGTCGGTCTCCACATCGTCAAGTTCAGAAATCACCTGTACTACACATCGTGAGGAAGAGATCCTGATCGAATAATTTTCTGGTCATAAAATTCACTAGAAGGGTGAGACAAATAGTAGAGTACTCCCCGATTCCGTCAAGCTGCTTTGAAATCTGAGTGCTCATGTGATGCTAACGGGCTCCTCGTTGTTACTTCCAGCAGCTTCACTCTCCCTGCGACAGCGGCTATCAACCTCTCTCTCCCTCGTCGACAATTATCACAGATTCAACATTCTACATTATTTCATCAGCACTGGGTGGATATGTCTCGAGACGAATTTAGCCTATCAACAACGCTTTGCTGGAGATAAATTCTCCTCTGGAGGACCCTCAGGATACCTGGAAGGGTATAGAAGACGAGATCGCTCATTACGTTGGGAGAGCATAGAAAACAACCTCCCCTTCGATTGAAAATTGGCCAAAAAGTATGTGAAATGTATATGCGCAGGTGCCTTTCCACTGGCAAGCTAATCCCTCATTACGTCATCAGCGCTCGCTCGGAGAAATTCAAAAGTCGCCTTCCCGCTCGACTTGATCGCTTCTGGAGACTCGTTCTTGTTCGAGGGGTCTTCTCTTTCACCTTCCTTCGTCTTGGCATCGAAAACTCGGCATCGAAAAAGAAGCCGGAGTGCCCCTTTAAGATGCACGTTATTTGCGACGTGATGCGCAATTTCACGTCAAATTTGGCGTAAAACTCCAAATTTCAACATGTGCAGGTCACTCGCGTTGTTTTTCAACGCACGAGCCAAATAGCGCGGGGTGAACTTTCGCGTCACGTCAATAACGTGCATCTTAAACCTCTCTATTACATGAATTTGTACACGTGCACTGTACACATGATGATGTCATTTTCGGGTACTACTCTGTACCCGCCTACTCGAGGTCCTCACGGGTAGCACGGGTACCCGACTACCCGTGCACACCACTAAAAATTTGAAAGGAAACATCGTGCAACTTGGAGGCAACAGGCCAACACAAAGGAGTGGCTCAGTTCGATCGATTCTGGCCTCAGAGCATACTTCATCTTGCCAGCTTCCTTCCACAAACGTACCTCGAGTGAAAAATCCACGCTGATGATCGGTTTAGGTCTACACTATTTTGCTGTCGAACCGTTCCTGTTTGAAACCGTTCCTGTTTGAAACCGTCTCCTCGGTAAAGGTATAGTTTAGGGTCCCAAATTATTTTAGTGGGTCAGCATGCTCTACAGAGTCCCAGGCATGCACATTACACGTAGGCCTTGGCCACAACTGACATCGAATACGATGTGGATGGACAACCACTGGTGTATGCAAAATCACCTTACGATGCGAACGAAGACGGCGCAAAGGACCATGAAAATTGCCTGAGTTTGAAGCTCGGTGATGCCGTGCGTGTCTTGAACACCTCCATGGGCAAGGGAAGGTGGTGGGTAGAAGTCAAAATATTCGTCGTTCTGCCAGGAGGCTTCCTCCGCGCCGCGCAGGTCATCCTCAGTGCCAAGGAATGATGATGGAACGTAGCCAGACTCGCCATTGACTTCTACCCACCACCATCCCTTGCCCATGGAGGTGTTCAAGACACGCACGGCATCACCGAGCTTCAAACTCAGGCGATTTTCATGGTCCTTTGCGCCGTCTTCGTTCGCATCGTAAGGTGATTTTGCATACACCAGTGGTTGTCCATCCACATCATATTCGATGTCAGTTGTGGCCAAGGCCTATGTGTAATGTGCATGCCTGGGACTCTGTAGAGCATGCTGGCCCACTAAAATAATTTGGGACCCTAAACTATACCTTTAGTAGGCTTTACCGTCTCCTCTACCACATGTACGTGTGTGCATGACAGGCGCCTAGCGCCAAGCGAAATAGTTCGCCGTTGTGTGAGCAGGTAATCCGACTCGTCCAACACAGTCGGCCGATTTCATGTCGGAGTCGGCGTCGGAGCATCGGCTAAATCGGCCTAGTAGTAACCCGGCTTTAGGGAATTCATTCAAGTAGTAACAAACAAACCCGATAAGTAAGTTATATCAAACACACAGGATAAGTAAGTTCGTCAAATTCAAACACAACGGCATGGCAAAAGAGGAAACGAACTGAGTAAGTAGCTTTCTTACCTGCGATGTATTTTGCAGCCTTTGGGGAACAAACGGTGGTGCATGCAGCTCGTGTCCGGTCAAGCAGGTTATCTTGGCCTTGTGCCGAGGTTGTGCGGCTTGGTGAAAGAGATTGAAACAGAGCTGGACTGTTCTCGTTTCTGACTTCTGCTTTCATTCAGTACAGCACTGAAAAGTCTTCGGAGGACGACAATTCTGATCTCGACCTTTCCTCTTCCTTCTTGATTTGCACGGAGACAGATGGCTGTCGGAAATAGTACCACAGAACTGGCAGCCATGGCTGAAGCGAAGAAAAGAGTGTTCTGTGAGTTCCTCTTCCGAACACTAAATTTCTACTGTCTCTAGTCTAGGGAAGTAAAATGTTTGTGTTCTCTACCGCACCTTGTAATGTAGCCTAGGGATAGGGACGTTACTTCTCCATTCGCGTCAGGCAGTGCATGTCATAGATCTACGGGTAAAATGCCGCACTACGTTCACCGTGCTTTCTGAGCTGCGCACAGGGGATTGTGGGCCTAACCCGCGATATTCATGTTAAAACAAAATGGCGTCACGATTTATTGAAAGTGGTATAGTTGGTGGTACGAGTGTTCAAAACCATTTGAACTTCATACTGTTCGTCTTCTTTTTGACATGCTCTCTTTCCATCGTCCTTAGCTTTTGTTTGTTGTGAGCTGTTTTGGCTTTCTCCTGTACCTCTGGGGGATGCCAAGTGATGGCTTTGAGAGGCTGGTGATGGCTGTGAGCGAGAGTTTGCCGATCGGCGTCGTCCTCGCTGTAGCGATGAAAATACTAGTTACTGCGCACTTGGCAGATATCACAACACGTCGGAGCGTCCAGGAGCAAAGGAATCTTGGGTTTTCACTGGAATCTAGTTCCTCCAGCATCGTGTAGCCCACCGTCGGTGAATGGCGGTCCAGAGAGGTCGAACCTGGTCTTCTGCAGCACCTCGCAGTCCTGCGAGGCACACCGTGTACGCCTGCCATGTATTGTACAAATAAAACTCATGCAGTAGTGGACTCTACAGTGATGAGTTTCAGCCTGTATGCTGCAAAAGACACAGCAAATGTGACTGGTGTCTGTACACTCAGTGACTGGACGCCAACACCCCAGTCTTCTCCTGCAGGATCTGTTTGACATTGACATTATGCAGTAGGTCGGCATTGACCTGGTTTGGCATCTATCGTAATAGTATCTGTCTGGTTGGATGTAGCAGGTTGGCGTTTGCTCGTCGTCCAGTCCGGAATTTTCTTGTAACTCACGGTGGAGTACGCGCAGGGTTTGTGATCATCCCTGTTCACTTCAATATCAAACACAACGTTCCCTTTGTCACTCATCTTATCCTAAGTACTGAATTTGCTGACAATATTGCACCACACTTGTCACAACCTACCGCCACTGCTGGCGGTGGCGACTGGTTCGTCAATGGCGGTGACCAGGCTGACTGACTAGCTTCGAGACAGCGGCCTCGTTGTCAACCCCGCGACAGCCTAAAGGTTGATTTTATCGATCCAGCCTCAGCGCCATGTTGACGATGCCCTAGTGACTGTGTGTCATGGATTGCCTTGCCATCAGCGGTCATTGCCGTCCACCTTGGTGCAGCCCTCAACAACTGGCTCAGCCCATGGGAGTCTCAAGTGGACAAAGTTGTTGCCAAAGTAGCTCAGAAGATTGGTGCATCGTGGTGTAGGTGAGCACATAACTAGGACTTCCCTGCGCCTATTTGTCCAGGCTGCGATACTATGTGACATGCTGTACTGCACATTCTTTTCAGCACTGCAAGGCCGGCAGCTGGACCGACTGCAGGGGCCGCGCACATGCAGGCCGCCTGTTGCCAGTGCAGCATTCTGGAACGTTCGAGATCCGTGGAATAATAACTTTCTTTGCTTCAAAGCAAGTTGCTTACCTTTCTGTTGTGCTCCCAGTGTCCTTACAACAATAACCTACAGCAATGTTTTATTTTCCTTTCCATTCCCCAACCAATGAATACTACAATGTCGATTCTATTTCTGAATACTTTAGTGTGTGCCCACGCACGCACGTGTGTGTGTGTATACCTCACTCGCCACTCGAAGTTCTGTTCCCCATTACTGGAACACTGCCTGTTCTTTCAGGACTTGCCATCATCTGCGGATGGGCATTCAATGATTGTATTGTGTGTGTGTTTCATTTAGAATCAGATCCGCTATCGTTGCTACAAGAGAAAATTTGTGGGTTCACATCCAGTGCATTTGTAGATTTGAGTGCTTTTCTCGCCACGGGCGCATACATGGGACATTGTGTGTGTGTGTGTGTGTGTGTGTGTGTGTGTGCGTCTGTGTGTATGGGGATATTGTCTGTATCGGCTTTTGGTACTAATGTTCAGGTCTGTGCTTTCATGTGTGAACATGAAATTGTTCGGTTCTGTGCATGCTATTGCTATGTTGTATATTATTGTATGTATGTGTGCATTTCCACGAACAGTGTAGATGAGCGTGGAGAGTGCATTCATCCCTCATCAACCACTTCTCCTTGGGCTTACGGGAGTTTTTTCTGCGTACCTCTCATTTTTGTTTGTTTCTCTCTGATACTGTATTGATGCCGGTACCTGTACCTCGATGTGTTCCTCTATCTGCAGTCGCCTTTATCCTTCGGTCAAGTTAACGTTTATTGTGCTCTATTTATCGTGCGAATCAAAATAAACAATAATAACACAAGTCATGCTAGAGTGACGACATGTGCGTGTAGTAGGGTTGATGCGATGGGACGTTATAATTAGGTGGAACAGAACACACATTGGGCAGATTGATTGGGCATCATTGATTGTGCTCAGTCTAAACTGTGAACATAATAATTATCTCCAGTGACCGACTGTAGCGGCTAGCCTCCAATAGGTAGCTGGCACTAGTCGCTACTGCTTGTTTGACAGGTGCCGCCAGAACCCCTGTTGTGTCATGCTATAGATGCACATGCCCTATTCTGGGGCATACTGAGGTACTTTCGATTTAAAGTTGTTGACTGCATGTAGACAGCATCCAATAGTAGTACTCGTAGACCTTGGCTCTTTGTAGGTCAACCACCATCGCATGGATCGATCGGTGACTGCACTTGGAGGTTGGAATAGCCCGCGCTGAACAGATCTTGCCATGGCCCAGGGAGTGAACTCGCTTACTCGACTATCCCGGTTTTAGTTAACCAGCATGAGTGGTGCAATTTGTCCATACCATGTTGCGAGCTCACAGTTGTTTGGGCAGGTTTTGAGCTGCACCACGAAACAAAGCGAAATAACGGCGTGACTGTAGAGCAAGGAAGCGGCGAGACGGCACTTCCAGGACGAGACAGGCAGTAGAGATGTGTTCACAGCACGAGCAACCTCTCAAACCCTGCCGGTACTCCACAGTTACAAGAAAATGTCGGACTTGACGACGCGCCAATGCAAACCTGCTACATCCACCCAGGCAGATAGCTGCCAAACCAGGCCAATGTCGACCCACTGCATACCGGTATGTCAATGTCAAACAGATCCTGCAGGAGAAGACTGGGATGATATTGGCGTCCAGTGTACGGACACCAGTCACATTTCCTGCGTCTTTTGCAGCATACAGGATAGACTCATCACTATAAAGTCCACTACTTCGTGATTTTTATTTGTAGAATACATGACAGGCGTATTCAGTGTGCCTCGCAGGACTGCGAGATGCTGCAGAAGACCAGGTTCGACTTTTCTGGACCGCCATTCACCGACGGTGGGCTACACGATGCTGGAGGAACTAGATTCCAGTGAAAACCCAAGATTCCTTTGCTCCTGGCCGCTCCGACGTGTTGTGATATCTGCCAGGTGCGCAGTAACTAGTATTTTCATCGCTACAGCGAGGACGACGCCGATCGGCAAACTCTCGCTCACAGCCATCACCAGCCTCTCAAAACCATCACTTGGCATCCCCCAGAGGTATAGGAGAAAGCCAAAACAGCTCTCAACAAACAAAAGCTAAGGACGATGGAAAGAGAGCATGTCAAAAAAAAGACGAACAGTATGAAGTTCAAATGGGTTTGAACACTCGTACCACCAACTATACCACTTTCAATAAATCGTGACGCCATTTTGTTTTAACACGCATACGGTCCACTCATGAATCGTCTGCTGACTTAGTCCATACCGGTAATTAATTTTTGGGAACTCTGAAGCTAGCTGCACACTCCGCACGAAGCTATGACATTGCTGCTGGAAATCCAGTCGATTGACCGGGGCCGGCGCCCTCAGCGCGTACAGAACGCTGCGTGCAGTGCACAGTCATGTTGAGCCGATGAGACCAGCGCGCTGCAGCGCATCATGATTGTGTGTACCGCTTATCCACGGTTGCATGGCCAGCGCCCTGGGGCCGCTAGACGTGCGACCGGATTTCCATGTCCACAACAGTAGATCTACGTCTCATCATGTTGAGGGTGGATCAAAAAATTGAAAAATATAAAAGGACACGTCTCTAATAATATTAATAGTGCGTGCCGGAATGATGTGATGGGCAATACTAGGGTAGAGGTACCAGGGTCCACTTTACATCGTTTTTCTTACCTGTTCGTCATCTTTGTGTCTTTCTACACTGTTTCTTACCATGGTTGAAATAATATATGTATGGCTGTAAATACTAAATACATTCAATGTATTTAGTATTTACAGCCATACAGTATCATTATCACGAGTTGTTCGCCACCCAAACCAGGCAATCAATCTTTCCAGAAACTATAAAAGTACACGTCTCCAATACCAGTACAGTCTCCTTGTAGTAGTACAGGTCTGACCACCTTTGAAAAATAAAAGCACAGTACATGTACATTTATTGGGGAAAATACCTGTCCCTGCAGGAATTTGCGGAAAAACTCTCGAAAACTTGCGCGAGAAATTGCGGCAGAAAACAACAAAAAATGCGACGAAAAATGCGGAATGTTGTAGAGCTTGCCAGGAATTCGCGGAATTATTTGCAGAAACTTGCGGATTTAGGTCAAATCACGAAATCTGTTTATTTTATTTATTTATTACAGCATCTCATAGCACAGTGAGAACACCGGCCAATACAAAGAGAGAGGGTCTGTTGCATCGTATACATGTATCTACTCGGGAGTAGTACGAGTCGTACTGTGTAAATAACCTACAGGATCATTGAAAGCACTGCGAAAGGGCATAAAAATATGAGTGTAGAAAGGGAAAGGAAATATAGATACGAGTTGAGAGTAACTCTCCATCACTGTAACCAGATACTATATACAGTCAGAAAGTGCAACAACTAGGCACAAAACTGACAGAGTACGGAGACATTCGACGTCCTGACACCTAGCTTCAACACATCTCCGTAGCGCTAACCGACAGCCTTCCAACTTGGAAGGTTCAAGGTTATGGAAAGACCAAAGAAGGGAAGGCAAGCGCAACGAAAATGAGCACAAGCTACAGCCCCAACGGAACAAAGAATATCGATTGT